ATAAATACCCTTAGAAAGCCTACAGCCATGAAAGTGTACATCTAATGTGTTAGGTCCCTTGACATGTGTAAGAAATGAGACAACACACATAAAATAGCATTCTTAATAAAAATTATTTCATCATGGCTATACATACATACATACATACATACATACATATATGTATGTATGTAAAAGCATACAATGTTTAGTATGTCGTACAGGTTGATAAGGTTCACTCTCTTATACAAGAAACCACCTTTGACACTTAAAAAGATCATTCACATAAGAGACATTTGTGTTCACCATTAAGGCAGTAAAAGTGATGATATGGTAGATAATAAACACAAATTATATATTGCTTTAATAGAAAAAAGAAGAGTAAGTTGAGATGAGATCTATATATATTAGATCAAATCATGGGTTCCCACATTATGATACTTGTAGTTGGACAATGAATTGTTCAAGATTGACATCATATGAGATGGGCAGAAGAATTTATGTCTAAATACTATGGGTGTCTATATTTAAATCTGTACAGTGTCAATGACATAAATAAAATGACATACACTCTTATAAAATAAGAGTAACACCATGCCATGCGATTCATATAGCACGTGTTCAGTAACCACAATTGGGAAACAAGTGAAAAGATTTCTGCTTCATTGTTGTGTGAGTCCTAGAAAGAAATAATCTTTTCATTGATGTCATTTGACTTTAACAATATCACGTAGGTAAGTTACATTGCCTGCTACTTTAGCATATATTATACAATCATGATAGATACGGTCTAAAGGTAATGTGCTAAGAAAGTGATTATTTCTTATCAAAGTGATATTAAGGTGAAAGGAAGATTGGCTGATCTTGTGTTAAGACATGTCTATTATGATATTATTTTGTAGATTTCATAAGTATGGACATTGTGCATAAGAGAAAGGCTATCTGAGTCTTATATTGACTCAAGAGAGATTAGATTGACTATGAGAAACATGTATATAGGTAAATCTAGAACATTTGAGGCACATTATTAATATAAGAGAAAATCAACAAAAGAGTTGTTTTCTACTGACCCGTGCCGTTGCAATTATAGTAAAGCACCTACTATGAACATGAGAGAGAATCCATTGAGTATGAGCGAGAGATGTTGGATTGCATCCATGATGAATTGGGCCAAGTAAGCAGAGGCCCAAGTTGGCTAAATAATTGTTTATTTAAATAAAGAAAAATTAATCATTTGGTCTCTGTAATTTTCATCTAGTTGTAACTCAATCCCTAAATTTTGATTTGTTATAACTCAGTTCCTGAAGGTTGAAATTTTAGGGACTAAATTTCCAGAAGCAAAGTTCAAGAATTGATTTATAACAAAGTCAAAACTTCAGAGATTACGTTATAACGAGTTAAAATTCAAGGATTAAGTTACAATTGGGTCAAAATTACAAGGACCAAATAATTAATTTTCTCTTTAAATAATTATTTTTTATGGTGGTTACAAAAATATCTGGATGCAATAGTTATTTTGTTTTTAAAATAAACAAAGTATCCACCCATGATCAATGAGAGATATATTGGGTGATCTGATAAGCATACATGATGCATACGTTTAGTTTATTCCCTTTCTCAAAAACGCTCTTCATCTCTCTCTCTCTCTCTCTCAAGAAACGGTGTATTTACTGTGAAGATATATATATTAGATTCAAGACTATAACCCAAATTCGGTGAGGAAGGAGGCCCGAGAAATTTTGTCCTTAGCAAAGGTATGTTTCCTAGTCTCCACAAACCTACATAACTGACTAATCGAATTGCTAGAATGGTAATGCCAGTGAGTAGTCTTTCTATTCATTGTGATTTGATCGGTAACTGCTTAATTGCATATTCAATGAATGATGAAGCAGGAGAAAAAAGGAGATTTGTGAAGTCAATTAATTAGTTTTTTTTTATCCGAAATATTTTTCATGTATGTATACAGTGTGTTGCAAGGGTTGTGTTAAGGAGGAGCATTGGCAGCAACTATTATGTCCGGGTGTGGTTTAAGATTAAGCCTAGAATGCTCTCAATTATAATTTTCTTGTGGGAATAGATGAAATAATTTTTATATCGGTATATATTTGAGTAGCCCAATACATGAACATTCATTAAGGATATTTTATGATCTCAATTGAAGAAATAGCATGAGCCTTGAGATAATTTTTATTACTCTAAAAAGGTAATTATGGATTTGTCATGGAGGATAAACTTAGAGGAATATGGATTATTATTATCATTATCATTATTACAATAAGGTAATAATTTATAATTGACATTCTTGTAGAGGTTGTAGAGCGTAAGATTTAAGTAGAGATGCTTGCAATCTAGTTAAAGCATGGGTAAGTGGAAGCTTATAATATGTTAATTAGGATGTTGAATTTTGGAGACAAAATATTAAAAGAAGAAAAAAAATGTAATATCTTAATTTTCATTCCTATAATTTAAATAATATTGGGATATGATCTATCAAATAAAATGAGGTTTAAGATAACTAAATTTATAATTTTTGAGACACAGAGGAATATAGGATTGTAATTTAATGAAATAGAATATAAAATTGAAGAAAATCCTAATTAAGATAAATTAACTTTTATTATATTCTTAAAGCATTAAATTATTCTGTTATGGGGAAGAAGTTTAATAAAAATTTATTAATATTGAATTGAATTTAGTGAGAATAAAATGCAGAAAGGATTAAAAATAAATTGAAAAAAAAAGATAATAGTCAGAGTCAATAGAGTTGAACGAACAAGTACGCCGGGGCCCTTCTACATCAAGTTCATTCAATTTAATATAATACATTCGACTTTTATTGTAAAATATTTTTAATTCTTTCACCCATTTAAAAAAATTAATTTTTTTATATTATAAAAATAAAATGTACATCCTTTTTTATCTTTAATTTTTAATAATAACATAATTATATTAAATATTTTTTGTTAATAACAAAATAAAATTAAAAAAAGTGATTTAAATATTATAAATTATTTTATATTTTAAATTAAAAATTATTTTTCAAGAATGTTAAATAGGAGAAGTATAGATTATGTACGTACGCCCACAGACATAGAACTAAACAAGATTATGTACGTACGCCCACAGACAGAGAACAAAAATATCACCGTCTCCTCTGTCTCTGTCTTCTTTTGTGGCTCCAAGATATTTTAACAGTAATTCCAATTATTTTAAGACTATATAAGTTTTTTAAATTTTTTTATAATTAATTAATAATATATCAACCTAAAATATAAATTTATATGAGCCAATTACACGCAATTTCCATACAACACACTTGGATAGATAAACCAGATTTATTTTAGTTGTAATTTTCTTTGCTGAATTATCCTGATCTCAAATAATTCTCCTTCTATTAATCTGCTTAGACTAAAATATATATTTAGTATCCTGATCTTAAGTAATTCTCCTTTTATTAATCTGTTTAGATTAAAATTTACATTTCGTGTTTTATTTTCTGTAAAATTTATTTTAATTTTTTAATTATATAAAATACCTTTTTAATCTTTTAACCTTAACAGCTTTGTTATAAAAAAAATATTAACATATTAATTTAATTTTTTAAAAAATAATAATTGACATAAAAATAATTATTTAAAATCAATAATATTAAAAAATTGAAAAATATTTTACAAAATTAAAAAATTAAATTGAAATCTTAAAATTAAAGGATAAAAAAAATATTTTTTTAAAAAATAGAGAGAATGATAAAGAGGTCTAAAAAAATTAATTAATTTAATTTAGGTGTCAAGTGTTAAACTTCATAAATTTGCAAGTCCATCTTTTAATTTTATAATTATATTGTGATGAATTTACAACTTATTTTTTAAATTTTAACATGGTTGAAGGATAAAAAAATTATTTTTTATGTTAAAATTTGAAATAAGAGATACAAATTTATCATAAAAAAATTATAAAATTGAGAGATTGAATTATAAATTTTTAAAATTTAATACTTAAAATTAACTTAAATTAATTGAAACTCTTTGTCATCCTCTCAAAAAAAAAAAAGTACACTAATGAGACAGAAATCCACATTTTGTTGACGTGGAAGCATGAACCTAACTTTGAATTGCGTACCCATCCGGTAGGCCTCCAGGTCAATTTGATCGCCATCAATATTAGGCCATATTTGGTAGGTTGAAATTGTGAAGATGGAAATGAAATTGAAATAGAAATATGAATAAAATGATGTTTGGTATATATGAATTACAATTCTAAGGAATCCTAATTCTATAGAAAAAAGCTGAATTGAATTCTTTATGTAAATTTATAGAATTGTAATATTTAAGACACTTTTGCCCTCATACAAATTCCAGAAAGACAAATTTGCCCTCAAAAAAAAAAATAAAACCCTCATATACTAGCAAAAAAAAAAAGAAAAAGGGAGTATAAAGGGTGAATGATATTTTTGCTCATTATATATAAAACGTTATAATATATATATAAGATAGTATTGTATATAATATTTGTATATAATTTATATATTTATAATATTTTTTTGGTATAAGAAGTAGAATTGATTTGTTTGACATTTTTCTTACAAATCTACGTGTTAGTATATTTATTTTAAAGTAGAAGGGATGAGAACCATTGCTAATTTTATTTTCAAGAAAATGTTTCCTCTGATGATAAAACTTTTTGTTTGGCCCAAGCTAGTGAATAATAGTTACAAATATAATTTATGATTTATATAATATTTCATTAATATATAAAATACATAAGAAAATTGGTACACAATTAAATTTTTATTATGTTTTATTTTAATTTTTATATAGGGGTATTTTTGTCTTTTAAGTATAATTTCATTTCCATATCTTGCATACCAACAAAAGTAATGCAAAGATTTTATCTAATTTTTCTAACATATCAAATATACTTTAATAATTTAATTCTATTTCAATTCTGATTCCAATTCTGATTTCAATTCTAATTTCATCAAAACCTATTCCATCATAGCAAACCATACTTATATTGTCAGCCAGTTTCATCCAAATCCTAGCTCTCCTTTCCGTTGTTTCTTCACAGCCTCGATACTTCAACCATTTTTCCTTCACCTGTAAAACCCTAATTATTCTGCTATTCGTCACCATGACTGTCCCTTCTTCTAAGAATCGAGGTCTGTATCGCATTTTCATTTGCCATTTCTAAATGCTCTTGTATGCTTGTAGAATTCTTTATAATTGTACCGTAATTCTATCTAGTTTTAGTTAGTCATGTTGATTTTCTAGTTTGACTTTTCTCTTTAAAATTCATAAGAATATTGCTTGAGGATACTATTATATAGATTATATTAGCTCTGAGGAGTGGCATGATGTTCATGATTATGTACTGGTTATGGAACTGTATTATTATTATTATTATTATTATTATTATTATTATTATTATTATTATCAGTTTCCAGCGTCTTATTTCCAATTCATGGGAGCTTTTGTTATCGTACACAGTGTCTTGGTAGTGGAAACGCACCAATTGAAGACCCTGCGCTATTAGCTTGTCTCTTGCTCTGATCTGATAGAATGATTATTCTTATCCTATGATTTTTAATCGATCCTTTGAATATAATTGCCATATATGATGGTTAATAAGAGCTATTGTTACATACTTTGATTTCACAGACGATGTCGTGAAAAATGAGATGCCTTCCTATTTTTATTTGCCATCGCTGGATATCTCTGTAGCATTTCCTCAAGCGACTCCAGCCTCTATATTTCCTCCATGTGGTAAGATTTGTTTTTCATAGTTCACGTCATGTTTAGAGAAATCTGATGTTTTGGAAGCTTTACTTCACCTAGACTAAAGAGGTTTAAAGAAGAGGTCGATTGTGTCTCTAGACTATCATGCTGTTATAAAAACTTTGCATATGATGTGCTTATATATGTTTGATATAATTGATTAGATTTGGTTCATGTGCTTAGAAACTGGATGCCCCCCTTTCTTCCTTTACTGTGTTGTATGTCTTAACATATAATTTATAATAAATAGGACTACTTTTTCACCCTTCTGAACGAAAACTACTCTCTATACATGCATGAATTTCTCAAAATTGTTATATCTAACATCTGCACTTAGAATTTACTGAATTGAAAGTACAATAGTAATATTATGCAACAGTTTTAATCAATAACAGACTAGCCCTGACTGTGCCTGAATCCAAAATCTGTTGGAGCTTTTTTCTGTGAGTACATGTTGATAATATTACTTGTACATATTGACTATACTGTGGCTTGAGTTCCTGTGAGGGAGACCCTGCCAAGTGATCTCACAAGTGTTTCCTCTGCCCTCAAATTCTTTTCTATAAAAATTCTCCAGTTAAGATATATAATTCATGCTAGTTTTCCCCATTTTCCCCATTCTAAAACAGTAGAGGCATTAGGTGGCCCAATTCTTTGGGGATTAAAAAAAAAATTTCATTACTTGTTCAGTTTATCTCCCTTCCCAAGCTATTGTTACCTTGCGAAAATCTTTGTTGTTAGACAGAGCAAAGAAGCCGAACATTCATTATATTGATGCTCATTATTTTAAGATTTACATTTAAAGTTCTAAAATGCAGTCCTTATCCTTCACTTCTGTGTCTTCCCCATTGCATGATTTGTCAAGTTTGTAAATATTTTTGACTTGATTCAGGATTTAATGTTCTTGATTGTTGAACACTACAGCTTCAGATTACTATCAATTTAATGACATATTGACTCTGGAGGAGCAGGCTGTTAGAATGAAAGTAAAAGAGTGCATGGAAAAAGAAGTTGCTCCTATAATGGCTGAGGTATCTTCCTGTGATCCATTTTCTTCCATTGTGTTTTGACTGCCTTTATTCTTTTCTTTCTTCTTGAATCAAATCTCTTGTTTGCTTGTGTTTCCCCCCTGAAGTATTGGGAGAAGGCTAAGTTTCCTTTCCATGTTATTCCAAAACTTGGCGCACTGCGTATTGCTGGTGGCACTATCAAGGTTCTCTCTTGCATATTATGTGTATATATATTCTATTATAAGAGACATGGTAAAGGAGGTGCTTAGCTAGTTCTGATTCTCAGGGTTATGGATGCCCTGGTCTTTCTGTTACTGGAAGTGCTGTAGCCACAGCAGAAATTGCTAGAGTTGATGCAAGCTGTTCAACTTTCATTTTGGTTCATTCATCCTTGGCAATGCTCACTATTGGTAACACCCCTATGTTTGAATGCTTATTGTTTCATCCATCAGGAAAATCTATCAACAATTCCTGATTTCTTTTTGTTTCTTTTATTAATTGTCAAGTACAGCTTTGTGTGGATCAGAAGATCAGAAGCAAAAGTATCTACCTTCATTGGCACAGCTACGCACTGTAGCATGTTGGGTAAGTTCCCTTTTCTGTCATCTCATCAGTTTGCTGTGGCACCACTTGTTAAAGATGTTTATTTTTCCATTTGTTAGGCTTTAACTGAGCCTGATTATGGAAGCGATGCCAGCGCTTTAAAGACAACAGCAACAAGGGTCCAGTACCTTACTCATCCTATCTATTTGCTTTTGCAACAACTTCTATTGTGTCTTTTTCACTTTATTTTGGCAGTCAAATTTCACTCTATTTAAGTATTCAAATTTCTTCAATCTTGTAAAATGGTTTGCGTTGAAAATATCAGGTTGAAGGAGGTTGGATCCTTGAGGGCCAGAAACGCTGGATAGGAAACAGTACATTTGCTGATTTGTTAGTTATCTTTGCTAGGAATACCACAACAAATCAGATAAATGGGTATATAACTAATGTTCTTAGTCTCATTATATATATGTGCATGTGCATGCTCATGTGCGTTCAAGTTTTTACTCAAATACCCATATTTTCTTGATCCGTTGATCTTTTTTCACAAGTTCTCATGTTTCTCCATGTGGTTTTTGACCAATAACTCAGGTATATTGTGAAAAAGGATGCACCTGGTTTGATAGTCACGAAAATAGAGAACAAAATTGGACTCAGGATCGTTCAAAATGGAGACATTCTTTTGAAGAAAGTTTTTGTCCCTGATGAGGATAGAATTCCTGGAGTGAACTCTTTTCAGGATACAAATAAGGTAAGATTGTATGTTGATTTTTTCTTTGCTATGATCTTAAACTGCAGACGACTTCAACAAGAAATTTCTAATTTAATCCTTACGTGTTGCTAGAACTTGGAGAACATCATTGTCTTAGATCCTTTGTCCTTGTAGTCTTGTACCTGTTTAGGATTCTTCTAATGTCTTCTAGGTTATTAGAAAGATCAGATGCCTGTGTTTTGCCCCCTTTCCCCCCTCTTTAGGCTGGAATAATCTTCAAATATCATCATGCCTTTACCACAAAAACAAGAATACTCTTCAAGTATAAATCATCCTTGGATAACAAGTTGAGATTACCATCTCCTCAGTTCATCTTGTCCATATATCGGTCATCCTTTTACGCTTGTTTCTTGATCTGCATATTGGTTATTTGTTCTCTGCATTATGAAATAGGTACTTGCTGTTTCGCGTGTGATGGTTGCTTGGCAACCTATTGGCATTTCAATGGGCATATATGATATGTGTCATAGGTATGTGCTTTATTGGCATGCTTCGTACTTAAATTAAAGCTTTCACTCGGAAAGCATTCTAAACTCTTGAGTAATTTAAAGGTACCTAAAGGAGAGGAAACAGTTTGGAGCACCATTGGCAGCTTTCCAAATCAATCAACAGAAACTTGTTCAGATGCTTGGTAACATTCAAGCAATGATTCTTGTTGGTTGGCGCCTTTGCAAGTTGTATGAGAATGGTAAAATGACTCCAGGTCATGCCAGCTTAGGGAAGGTTATGTCATAACCCTTGCATCATGTGTCTGTGTATCTGGTGATCTTGTCACGTTTGTTGTTGACCTTGGTGCTTCTTAGCGAATAACAAGCATTCAATTTAGGTCTCTCGTCATCATCAGTGGTTGTGCTAGCTGCTAATTAACTTTTGTTATCAATTTTCAGTCGTGGATCACCTTGAGGGCAAGAGAAACAGCTGCCCTGGGACGTGAATTACTTGGTGGCAATGGAATTCTGGCTGATTTTCTAGTGGCAAAGGTTATTATTATTAATTCTTAAATTAAGTTTTTTTTTTTTCTGAACATCCAATTTGATCTAGATAAAAATGGGATTAATTCGAGTAGATATTACCAAGCATGAAGTCTATTAAAATAAGATGGCAAGGATTGATGGAAAACGGTATGAAAAGAGTGATTTTGAGTTGAAAAATGACCCTTGTGACCTTTTTCTGAGAAAGTAATAAAGTATTGAAACTGACCTTTTTCCCGATCCCCATTTTATCAAAATTAGTAGAATTCATTCATTTCATCCTATTCAGTTATTTTTGTATATATATGCACAATAATATACGCACGTTGATAATTTTCATTTCTAAACATTAATATATATTTATTTTTAGGAATGCATTCAAATTTACTTTTTGGTTATTTTTGTTTTTCAAAATTTTACTGGAACTTCATAGAGCTATGCAAATATGAGTATGTCCCCGCCAAATAGGAAGGAAATGGGACAGTAGTGTGGTGATGGGGATGAAGTTCGGGAAAGGCTTCCACATCCTTGTTTTGCCACATTGATGGTCCCCTTTGCGTTAGACGAATATTTCTAGACATCCAAGGAGCACTTCCACGCTATAATAATGCAACTTATGGAGTCTTTTTAGTTTTTTAATCTCTTTTTCGCTGAGATTGACCTTGGGCCTATATGAGCAACTTTGTTTTCTGACTAAAAAGAAAAGCCTCTCTCAAATGTATATCTTGCATCGCAGGCATTCTGTGATTTGGAACCTATTTATACGTATGAAGGCACATATGACATTAACACACTGGTTACAGGAAGGGAAGTTACTGGTTTATCCAGCCTCAGGCCTGTTGCCCAAAGAAGTCGACTGTAAAAATGTAAAGTATTCCCATGGACTGATTTTATCTACTCAATTCTCTGCTGTGGTGGGTTTCTAATTCAGAAACAATCTTCTAGCGGATTTAATAATCATACAAGTGTTTGTATAGATGATGACTCAGTAAAATGGAAAATAATATGATCTTCCCTTGTAGTACGTTTCTTGTCTGCATTTGCTCTTTTCGTTTTTTCTGTTAGAGTTGAGTATTGATTGATGGACGGTCTGTTATAATTTCTACTATGACATTTGTTCTCTTTTTTGGTGTTGGGAAAGAGGATTCCCATATCTGAAATGATCACTTGTTTAATGTTATAGTCTCACAATACTTTGCAGGCATGCGGAGTCTATCTTGACATTTTTTTGTTGTATTCGGAAAATGCAGAAACATGCTCCGATTCCATGCTAAGCCAATATCATGAAGCCGATTTGTAGTAGACAATGCGTGCCTTGTCACTTACGAATCACATTCACAATATTTGCTGCACAAGACTTGATCTCATTAAATTAAAGTTGCATATTTGTTAATTTTTAACTACAGATTTAACTAATTGGCATCATTCTGGACGTACACGGTTAAAGAAGTTAGTCCATTAGAGTAAGATTAAATTTGGCATTTGAAATGTTAAGATATTGAATTGTAAATTTGAAGAGGTTGTAGGGGTTATGATTCAAAGAACAATTAATATTCTATACTTGCAAGAAACAGAATGACATGGAGAAGAAGTTAAGGATATTCAAAATTTTAAACTTTAGTATACAGGAAAAGTAAGTATTTGCAATAGAGTAGGCATTATTGTTGATAAGAAGTGGAAGAAGAACGTTGTAGAAATTAGCAGAATTGGAGACAGAATTATTTCCTTAAAAATGATAGTTAGACATGAGACTGTTAATATTGTTAGCTCTTATGCGCCTTAAGTTGGGACAGAAGCTAGTCTTAAGGAATTATTTTGGGAGGACTTGGAGGGATTGATTCAACACATACCACAGAGTGAAAAGGTTTTTATTGGAACAGATTTTAATGGGCATATCGGAGGGAGGCTGGTTAGTATGCGAAAGTGCATGGTGGTTTTGGTTTTGGAGAGTTAAACAATGAAGGATAAATTATTCTTGATTTCTTATTAGTATATGATTTTAAAATTGCCAACACTTATTTCAAGAAGAAAGATGAACATCTCATCACTTATAAGAGTGGAGCCTCAAGGTCACAGATTGATTTTCTTTTAGTTAGGAACACGGATAGAAGATTGTGTAAAAATTGCAAGGTGATTCTCGGGAATGCTGTAACAACACAACATAAGGTCCTTATTTTTTATGTGTGTATTATGAGTAAAACTCAAAAATATCGATAAATAGTAGTACCAATGATTAAGTGGTGACAATTAAAAGGTAAGGAACAAGATATTTTCAAGTGAAATTTTTTGGATGAAAGAATTTGGGAATATCAGGGAAGTGTTAACATCTTGTGAGAACGACATGGCTAAAAAGAAAAAGGAGGTTGCAAAAGTAATTTTAGGAGAATCAAAAGGTTTTGGTCTGAGAGATGAGTCTTGGTGGTGGAATAATAGTGTACAAGACAAAATCAAACAAAAAAACTGTTTTAAAGCCATACATTTGTGTAACAATGAGGAAAATTGAAAAAGATATTGTATGGTTAAGAAGAGAACTAAGAGAATTGTGAGTGAAGTTCGTTCTAAAGTTTTTGAAAAATTTTATAAAAGTCTTGAGACAAAGAAAGGAAAACAAAACATTTATAAAATTGCTAAGAGTAGGGAAAGAAAATCAAGAGATCTAGAATAGGTAAGGTGTATAAAGGATGAAAGGAAAGAATTTTAGTTATAGATGATAAACTTAAAATAGATGAGAAATTTACCTTTTCAAACTTTTCAATGATGGAGAGGGTTCGTCTAGTAACTTAGATAATTTAGTAATTCGTGAAGAAGAGCAAAATTTGTCATTCTATTGAATAATACGTAATAACCAGATAAAGGAAGCTCTTAAAAAAATGATAAATGGTAGAGTCAACGAACCTGATTGTATATCTATTGAAGTATGGAAATGTCCAGGTGAAAAAGGGGTGAGATAATTAATTAAATTATTTAATGTGATTTTATGGCTTAAGAAAATACTTGATGAAGGGAGGAGAAGTACATTAATTCTTATTTATAAAAATAAAGGGGATATTCAGAATTATACTAACTATAGAGGGATTAAACTCACGAGATACACAATGAAATTGTGGGAGAAAATAATTGAACATAGGTTGAGATTGGAGATAAGTATTTTTGAGAATTAGTTTGGTTTTATGCCAGGTGGATTGACTATAGAGGTGATTTATCTACTAAGGGGATTAATAAAAAAGTATCATTGTAAGGATAAAGATTTACACATGATTTTTATTAATTTGGAAAAAATTATGACCGTATACCAAGATAAGTGCTTTGGAAAGCTTTAAAAAAGAAGAGAGTACGGATTGCTTTTATTAAAGTTATACAAGTTATGTATGAGAGGGTAAAAACTAGTATAAAAATGTCTAGTGGTCAAACAAAGATTTTCTTATAAAGATTAGATTACATTAGGGATCATTTTGAGTCTTTATCTATTTAACTTGGTCTTAAATATTTTGATGGAACATGTTGAAGGAGAAATTCTCAAATGTATGCCCTTCGCGGATGATATAGTTTTATATAGAGACAAGAAAAGAGATTAATTGTAAACTTGAGATATGGAGGAGGACATTAAAGTCGAAAGGTTTTCGTCTGAGTAGGAGTAAGACGGAATATTTATATTGTAAATTTGGTAAGAGACTAGTCGACAATAATTTGAAAGTAAAATTGAGAGATCAAATTATACCTCAAGTAGAAAAGTTTAAATATTTGGGAGCCATCATTCAAAATGATGGTGAAATCAATGGAGATATTTCATATAGGATTCAAGTTGGGTGATTTAATTGGAGAAAAGTTAAAGAAGTTATTTGTGACCATAAGACGCCTAATAAACTTAAAAAAAGTTTTATTGTACTGCTATCAGACCGACTATATTATATGGTAGCGAAAGCTGGGCTCTAATGGGATAGCAAAAGCATAAAGTTGGAGTAGCAGAGATGAAAATATATGATGGATATGCAGACATACACATAAAAATAAAATTCGAATTGAGCACGTACACAAAAAATAAGGGTAGCACCTATTGAGGAAAAATGGTAGTAGAAAATCGTTTGAGATAGTTTGGATATGTACGAAGAAGACCGCGTAAGGCACTAATGAGAAGAGTAAAACATATAACTTTGAGCCCTATTAAAAAGAGGTAGAAGAAAGTTTAAGAGAACACTCTTGAAGTTGTTGAACGCGATCTTTTAATTAATAATATTTTTAAAATCTTGATAAATGATAGAGCTCAATGGTATTTATAATCCATATAGCGGACCTCACCTAATGGGATAAAGGCTTGTTGTTGTTGTTGTTAGGCATAACCTATAAATGAAATGGTAAGTACTTTCAGTGCCAAACTGATGGCTTTTCATACATGAGTTTTCCCGCCCCATTTATCCTAATTTATCACTTGAAGTTCATCCTTCTTTTATGTATTCATTTAGCTTGAAAAATTCATTTTTGTGTAGGTGTCAATGTAAGCAAAGTTCCATTGAATATAGTGGCAAGAGACCTAGGTCATTTATGTAAGCTTTCCTGTTGAATTGGCTGGCTTCCCTCCTTTGTGATTATTACTAGCTATGTGTGTTGCATGATACTATTATACTCATTAATAACCAAATTTTGGCTATATTATTAACCAAAATGCCTTGTTTAACAATTTTTATTATGTGTTCTCTTGAGCCTTCATCTATCTTTCTTCACGTGGTTCAAGATTATCTACTTCACCTTTTTCACTTGTGCCTCTCATAGCATTGTTTGCACATATTCAAATCATTTTAAATGATTTTCAATCATCTTCTCCTTCGTATATGTTACATTGACTCTTTCTCATATATGCATATCATGAGTCTTATTTTTTCTTATATACCTACACATTCATTTAACATTTTATATTTACTACTTTAATTTTATACTTGTCGTTTTAAAGTCCAACATTCACTACTTTAACATTAACTCTGCATATGTTTCATAGTTGGTCCCTAGTCTAGATAAAAAGAGAGCTGTGTTAGGTCATTGACAATCAAAATAAAACCACCAAATCTCACATGAATATGGACAAAATACAAACTTACAGTTATGAAAAAATAATGATGTTCTGGGATGTTGCTTGAGAGCCTGGGGCCCATTTATGGAAGTACCTCTCTCTCTCTCTCTCTCTCTTATGTTGATTCGAACACTTGAAACGTGGGAGGATCATTATCCTCAACGCTGACATGGAAGTCGAATATTAACAGAAGCACCTCTCCTCTAGATATGCTTTACCTCAATATTAATTTTTATGCCATTCATCATTGTTCAATGCTCATTCAAAGAAAACATTCACCGAGAAGGACTGAGATACCACTAGATATTAATCCAAAGGGCATAAATTGGTGAGATGACCTACCCCGACATTGTAATATAGCCCAAGCTGCTGACAACTACATCCCATGCTAGTCAAGAACAAATTCCAAACAAAAGCGAAGAGTTGAGACAATGGCCCAATAAACCAGGGAAAAAGAAAAACCTACGTTCAAATGAGTGCTGATGGAGATAATAAAGAGGAAATTTGTTGTGGCTGCTGATAGATAAGCCTTTTCACTTAGGTCTTCCACGCAGACATCCCTCAACCATCTTTTTTTTTTTTTGTTAATATTAACGACTTCGACTAATTTGGATCCAGTCGGTCGGAATTCTTTTAGGTGAAAGTTTTATCATCCAATGCTTATCAGACGCTCGCTATTATATTCCTTGAAGTCAACCTTGAAACATCTAATTAAGTTGTTACAATTCCGGGTACTTGTTGGTATTCCCTAACTATTATCTAA